ATTTGACTTGGTGTCGTGATGCAAACATAAACACATACAAATACAACTACAAGTAAAAACACAGACTAATAGTTGTGATGACTGAACAATTGAGTTTAAATGAGATTTAGTGATGCAGTATCTGTGCTGCAAAACACTGCAGCTTTATTATCATCATTTATTTGTTATTATCATTATTATGTTGTTGTTGTTGTTGTTGATCTAAGAACAAAATGACAAAGAAAGAAAGAGTATACAACTAAGCTAAAATACTTATGGTCACAAGTTAAAATGGTTGAAGCCGTACTTCCAAAACAATTTAAAATTAACATAAATACATTTCTTTCTTGCAATAGTTTTTACTTTGAACGCTATACGTTTGTAATACTCCATTGCAATGTGTGTTTCCTCATCTTCCAGAGCGTAACATTACTTTTTAAATTTCAAATTGTTATAGGCCTACTTTATGTACAAGTTAAATCGATGAGTAACAAAGAATAACAAAGACCGAAATCTAAACGAAAATAAGACGTAAGAAAAAGACGGAAATAGGAACATGGTTTTGCTTTTGACTAAAATACTATTTCACGAGTCTCTCTTCAGGTCAATCTGTTCCAGTGTTATACATGACTTCTGATTTTAGGAACACTTTCCCACTGCCTAAAATATTGATATTGGTGTTTCCCTGTGACCTCAATCCTGATAGTGCAACCCTCAACCAGCCCTTGCTCTCGTACCAGGAAACTCTCTCCAGTGTTTTGATCGTGCCGTCTTAATATTTCCAATGATGTTTATTTCACATGGTCTGTTGGTTACGGCGGCTATCAGGTGCTAACGCGCTACAACGACCTTGAAATACAATGTGATCCTTTTTCACCGGGGATGTGTGTGTGAGGACAAGAGGGATCAGCGGATTGATACAACTGATTGAGGAGAAGGAACGTTTCATTATACAGAACCTTCAAACGCAAAGTGCTTAACAAACACAGAAACACTTTATACAGACAATAATACAAAAACAAAAAACAAAGACAAATATCGGGGGTCCCTTTCCCACGCCAGCTGAATTGAGATTGACTCCTAATCATCACAGGGAGGCTGTGGCTCAGTGGTTAGTGTGCTTGACTTCAGATCAGGGATAGCAGGTTCAAACCCCACTGCAGTCAGCATGTCGTTGTGTCCCTGAGACCCTTCACCCCAAAGTGCTCCTGTGGGGATTGCCCACAGTATTGAGTATGTGAGTCGCTTTGGATAAAAGCGTCTAACAAGTAACATGTACAATGCAAGGTTGTGCATATATATATATATATAATTTGATCCTGTTACAACAAACACATTCTAGTTTTGAATCCACACATTTAGAAATGTAACAGAATCTCTTTTTATTTATGGAACAGTAACCCCGTCACATGTCCCCCCCCCCCTCTGGTCTGATGTGAAGTGAGGGGTCTGTAATCGGCCGCTCCCATTGGTTCCACTCGAGGACTCACTTCTCCTGATCCGGTTGAAGCGGGTTTTTGTTCGGAGAGAGAAATCCTCACAGCTTCAGATCCGGAGTTCACTCAGACGACTGCTGAGGGAGCGTGAAATCTGTGCCAGATGAGGAGGAGGAGGAGGAGGAGGAGGAGGAGGAGGAGGAGGAGGTAGGAGGAGGAGTAGGAGGAGGAGGAGGAGGAGGAAGTATCAGAGTGTCAGTAAATAACAGAAGCACAAACTAAAATGCTTTTACATTTTGCACATGTCCTCCAGTGGCGTCGCCTGGCCTTTAGCCGATCCTCCCTCAATAATAAAATACATTAACCGTGCTTTGCCTGAACCTCATCCGGACACTAGAGAGGACGGCAGCACTGCAATTTCCCGTGTTCAGTGAATGCAACAGAGGCAAGACACCAGAGAGAGAGAGAGAGAGAGAGAGAGAGAGAGAGAGAGAGAGAGAGAGAGAGAGAGAGGGGGGGGGGGGACACCGGTGCCTGCAGCAGGGACCGTGTTGTTAGCATCTGGTTAGCTAGCTGCACTAACGGACATAAGGAGCTGTTTGTTCCACAACAAGGCTCAGATGAGCCTCAGAGGAGAGTCCTCTCCTCTCAGACTGAGAGTCCTCTCCTGACAGACTGAGAGTCCTTTAGCTCACCTGAGCCTCTCAGACTGAGAGTCCTCTCCTCTCAGACTGAGAGTCCTCTCCTCTCAGACTGAGAGTCCTCTCCTCTCAGACTGAGAGTCCTCTCCTGACAGACTGAGAGTCCTTTAGCTCACCTGAGCCTCTCAGACTGAGAGTCCTCTCCTCTCAGACTGAGAGTCCTCTCCTCTCAGACTGAGAGTCCTCTCCTCTCAGACTGAGAGTCCTTTAGCTCACCTGAGCCTCTCAGACTGAGAGTCCTCTCCTCTCAGACTGAGAGTCCTTTAGCTCACCTGAGCCTCTCAGACTGAGAGTCCTCTCCTGACAGACTGAGAGTCCTCTCCTCTCAGACTGAGAGTCCTCTCCTCTCAGACTGAGAGTCCTCTCCTGTCAGACTGAGAGTCCTTTAGCTCGCCTGAGCCTCTCAGACTGAGAGTCCTCTCCTGACAGACTGAGAGTCCTCTCCTGTCAGACTGAGAGTCCTCTCCTTTCAGACTGAGAGTCCTTTAGCTCGCCTGAGCCTCTCAGACTGAGAGGCTCAGGTGAGCTAAAGGACTCTCTTGAGTGTTTAGATAGTTAACTTTAGTCTAAGTTATCTCAGTGGGTCTCAAACGGTTTGGTCACAAATTATTCAAAAGATTATTTCCGCGGCACACCTTCATATGATCATTATAGTTATACAAACAATAAGAGAATAAATGAAAAACAGGAATGAAACACTATGACAGTAAAACAAGAATACAGTTTGAAAGGGGAGTGATTAGTAAAATATCCATAAAGAAAAAGAAAATCTGTGTACAGTTCTGTTTCATCTGGGTGCTGAGAGAGGTATCCATAGATCTCTTCATGCTGCTCTCAAAGTGCACCAGATTGATGCTTTAACTTCAATGTTTAAAAAAGAATCTTCCCCGGACCCCCCGAGAGGAGGTGAGGACCCCCCTGGAGGAGGTGAGGTCCCCCCCCACTTATAAAATAGCACTATACCCCTGCCTATATGCCGTGAGCTGATTATCGAGCCTTCATTGTAACAGTCGCGGGTGCACTGTGTGTGTGTGTGTGTGTGTGTGTGTGTGTGTGTGTGTGTGTGTGTGTGTGTGTGTGTGTGTGTGTGTGTGTGTGTGTGTGCGCGTGTGTGTGTGGCCTAGCATTACTATACTTGTGGGGACCTACATCTGTTTACACAGTCACGTGTGGGGACTCGCCTCCCTTATGGGGACAAATTGGAGGTCCCCATGAGGGGAGTCATTAATTTTAGGGTGAAGACTTGGTTAGGTTTAGGGTTAGGGTTAGGCATGTGTTAGTTATGGTTAAGGTTAGGATAAGTCTCCAGGAAATGCATGTAAGTCAATGTAATGTCTTCTGAAGTGATGTATACATGGTATGTGTGTGTGTGTGTGTGTGTGTGTGTGTGTGTGTGTGTGTGTGTGTGCGTGCATGCATGCGTGCGTGCGTGCGTGCGTGTGTGTGGAGTGTTGCAGTAGAACATTCCCCTGCAGCGCCCGGTGGGAAACCCTACATGTTCGAGACTTATAGATTTAGTTTCCATGACTTTCCTGACATTTGATCAGTTTAGAAAATCAGATTCTATGATTTGCATAAATGTTAGTTCCAAATAAGATCCACCTTAAAAGCAACAGCACCAAGACTGTTCAGGAAACGTTCAGTGTGGTGTACGAATAGTGGATTAACATCCGAGGTGGAAGAGTGCAGAAGGAAGGCCTCCATATTATATATATCATTAGATGGTTCATACACAGTACATTTCTCTGAGTAAAATGTACTCAAATTGAAGAACATTTTACTCTAAAAATATTACATTTGGTCCCAACCTATATAGAGTGAAATGTACTCTTTGTTCAGTTGTATTTTTAGAGTTCATTTGACTCTATTATGTGCTTACATTTGACTCTGCTTAATGGTTATTTACTCCATGTAGTGTATATTAAAAACAACTCTACTGCCATTTGACTCAGAATAGAATACATGAGCCATAATGATCTTTATATTAAAAAAGGTCAATAAACCAAAGTGCTTAAGGAACACGAGTGGGCGTGTGTGAAGCTGACCATTGAGCGGCCCGACCAAGCAAGGAGGCAGAGAGTTCAAATACAACCGGGTGTGGGCATTTATTCATCGCTGTGGTTCAGGATACACAGCCTCAATATGACTGTCTCACGTGAACACAGTCACCAGCAACAAGGCCCTCACACACTAACAGGAACCTACATACACACAGCACTAATCAAACCAACAAGACACAGGTGAGGAGGGAGGAGAGACACAGGGGCACCAGGTGAACACAATCACCAGCAACAGACAAGACGGGAGGGGGAACACTTTTCAAACTACAACAGGAAACAGAGACAGACAAACTAAAACACAGACAGATCGTGACAAATAGATGCTTCAATGCTTTAGCGTGGAACAAAGTAATATACTTCGCCAATAATGAAGCTATATAATCCGTAACGGAGACCGAGATCTCCGGCTCCAGAGATCACCTCCGTTACAGCGTGGTCATGGTTTAACTCCAATAGAATTGACTCTGCATTTTTGATCGCACTCTAGAAGCTATGAGTAATAAATACACTCCAAAATGCAAAATAGTAATTACTCTGGAAAAAATACTCCCCAATATTTCCATGTATTGTTGCATCAAGCAGCTGATACTGCTGTAGACGAGAACAGTGCTGTCTCACATTCATATTATTTTTGTTGAGGGCTTTTAGTAATAATTGGACTTCCTCGTACCTTCAAGTTAGTTTAACTTTTGCATCATGTTTTGAATGCAACATATGCATCTGAACAAAGCTATTTAATAAATGTAGTGCAGGAAAAGTACAGCACTCAAGTACTCAAGTAAAGTATAACTTGTGTTCTCTATTTGAGTCTTCATCAACACAGTCATCTTAAAGTGCACTTTATCACATGTTGTGATATTGAGGAGCGATGGTGAGTTTCTCCCGCAGAGAGCAGCTCCTCCCCCCGGCTATAAGAGCCTCTGCCAGGTATCAGTCTTTAAATACAGCCTGCAGAGAGCGCGAGGAGGGTCTCTCACGTTCAACCACACTCTCTACCCGGGTCTCCTGCAGCCGGTACCGGGATGTCGGATCCTCTGTGCTTCTGCTCTCGGTGATCAAACGGAGGATTTTGGCACCGGGACTTTTTATTTTATGTTTTATTAAACATGACTTTCGCCACCATGCTGCGGCCCATGGCGTCACACTTACTTTACTCTGACGTCATCACCTCTGAGGAGGATGAGGAGGAGAACCAGAGCGACGGCGGCGGTTCGGAGCAGAGCTACTGCGGGAAAAGGAGCAGGATTTCCCGCAGGCTGAGCGCAGAGATGCCGGTGGTTGTGCAGCAGAGGAGCGCGGCGAACGCTCGGGAGCGCGGCCGGACGCAGAGCGTGAACTCCGCCTTCACTTCTCTGCGGAGCCTCATCCCCACGGAGCCCGTGGACCGGAAGCTCTCCAAGATCGAGACTCTGCGACTGGCCTCCAGCTACATCTCTCACCTGGCCAACGTGCTGCTGCTGGGGGACGGAGGCACGGAGGGACAGCCGTGCCTGCATGCGCCGAGAGAGAGCGGAGCGCAGCAGCCGCGCAGCATCTGCACATTCTGCCTGAGCAGCCAGAGGAAAGGGGTGAGGTTGACCGGAATCAGAACCGATTAGATGCGTAAAAAGCGCTTCTTTTGGGGGGGATTTGTGTGCGTAATGGTGCATTCCTCACAGACACACATGTTTTCGTTTTACTTAATTTATTAAGCATAGTCTGAGATACAACATCAAAGCTTTCTCTTGCCTTAGGAAATTAATGAGGGGCATCTGCACCTTCTGCCTGAGCGATTTTATGCGTAAAAGGCACTTTTTCTGTAGGTTTTTGTGCGTAAAAACGCTCTTACGTACATTCCTCTCAGACGCACGTGTTTTGTATTCTTTTTTAAAAATTGACTTCAGTGCAAAGCATAATCTGATATACAACATATTTAGTAGCTTTCTCTTGACTTTGGAAATGAATTTTGGGCAGCATCTGCTTCTGCCCGAGCAGCCAGAGGATTCTGTGCGTAAAAAGCACACACACAAAAAGTGCTTTTACGCACGGCACATGTTTGCTGTCCATGTGCATTCCTCACATTCCTGTGTTTGTATTCTCTTTTTAAAACTCCACTTTAGTGCAAAGCATAATCTGAGGTCATTAGTTTAGCTTTCTCTTGCCTCTGGAAATGGATGTGGGCCATCTGCGCCTCGGGTCAGGGTTCCGTCAAAGTGGATTAAAATACAGAGCAGATCATTACATGTGCCAAGCATATGAAAGTGAGTGGCTCTAACACATGGAACTTCTCATCAGCTCCACAGCAGGTTTCTGTATCAAGCTTTTTAAGATGTTCTGAAGTTTGATCAGCATTTATCTTCCAATCGACAGTTATAAGCTTTGGTTTGTAAAATGCACTGTTGGAAGATGTTGTGAGTAGAAGGTGCTTTTAAAGGCACATGTTGGCAGTTAGTGTACGTTCCTCTCAGACACACGTGTTTGTGTGACAACATCATTAGCTTCCTCTTGGCTTTGGCCATTCATGTGTAACCATTAGATTTACTGTGTCTTTATGTTTATCTGACTGAGATATTTCATGTGTTTACAGATAAAGGACGGCAGAGAGTGTTTAAAGATGAGAGGACTCGCTGCGCTGAGAGTGAGACGCTGAGAGTGAGACGCTGACAGGAGAATGATTTAAAAACCTGAACATCCTCAAAGACTTTCTCAGGGAAGAGTCACATCACACACACACACACACACACACACACACACACACACACACACACACACACACACACACACACACACACACACACACACACACATGCTGGATCACACGATGAAGAAGAGACTATTTATTCTTGATGTATGTGAGTTTCAGAGATGCCGTGCATTTGTTTGGAAACTTGTGTCTTTTTGTCTTTTTGTTCCCAAAGTTTTAAATAAAATATATTTTATCAAATAGTACTTGTTCTTGTCTCTGATTCCCACGTCCTGACAAAGGGGGACAGACAGCTGTGCCACATGTGTACACATTGTGCTAAAGATGGGACAGATGTAAACATAAAAGTCTATGGAGGAAAAGGAACAAAAAGAAAATAGAAAAGCGTTACTTCCGTCTTAACTTGAGGTTAGTGAAGAAAGGCTGCACGCATGAAACAAGAAGGTCCACTGCAGATTAGAAAACCACTACATGCTATCTTTAATATTCAAAAAGGAATTTACAAATGTTTTATTTTGACCCCAAAATTCCCAATTTAAGAATAATAAAAAAGTAATAAATTATGAACAATATAATACAATTAGAAGAAAGTCAAACTTATTGCCTGACTCAAAATGGAGGCTGATATGAATGGCAGTTTGAAGCACACAGAAAATAATGATTATCCTACTAAATAATTATTAATCCCTTTTTTCTCACCAGAAGCAAAAAAGTTAAAATAAAGGAAATGAATAAAATAAAATAAATGACATTTAAAAAAAATCAAAAGAGATATAATGAGAATTAAAAATATATAAAAAGGAACTACATGTGAGTCTGAACTAGACGGCGCTTGGCTGAACCTTCTGCCGCTCCCGGTGTCCGGTGTCAGAGCCGCTGCGGTTCTGTTTTCCCTCCAGATCTCACGCCTGGTGTTTGTTGAAGTCTGTTATCGATTAGTCACGGCTAATATCGGCCCACACGGAGACACAGCTGCTTGGCGTGTCAGAGGGATAAATCACCACCGGGGGGGCAGGGTGAGGGTGGAGGGGGGAGGGGGGAGGTGAGGGTGAGGGGTGGGGGCAGGGTGAGGGGGGGGGGGGGGGGGGGGGTGAGGAGTCAGAGGTCACTGCGGAACAACGGAGAGAAGCACTGCTGACGGGAAGTCATGGAAAAAGGACATTAAAATACATCATGCTGCTGCTACTGAGTAATGGATGACATGTAATGGTATAGATACAATAAGGTAAAAGATGTAATCTGATTACAGTTACATTTCAACATGTTGTGGATTACTAGCAGGATTTAGCATCTGTGTGTGTTGTGAAGGATCAGATGTTCTCTCTTCTGTAGGATATGCTTTAGACTGAATCTGCTTCATGGGATCTTTTCTTTTTTGACTTTTTATAAAAATTCTGACTTTTTTCTCCAAAATCTTCAAATCTTCAAATTCCCGACTTTTAACATATTTCTGACTTTTTTCAAAATACTGACTTTTTTTCAAAACTGCGATTTTCTTTTCAACTTTCCAAATTTGTATTCCAAAAATCTTACTCTTTCAAAGTTCCTGACTCTTTCATATTTCACACGACATGACATGTTACTTGTTAGACGTTAGACGATCTCTTCTCTGCAAACTGTTCTAAGACGTTAATCTGCCTCTCTCTGCTTTATGGGATCTTTTTCTTTTGACTTTTTATAAAAATGTGGACTTTTTTCTCTAAAATCGTAAAATTATTTCTAAATACTGACTTTTTTTATAAAACTCAAACTTTTTTCAACTTTCCGAATTTTTATTCCAAAAATCTCACTTTTCCCCAAAAATATCACAAAACTTTCCGACTTTTTTATATTTCTTACTTTTCTTTCTAAATTCTCACTTTTTATAAACATTCTGGCCGTTTCTCAAAGTCCAGTCGAGCTGCTGCAGAGCCACTATTTCTACGTCATCGAGTGGCGCCGAAGGACAGTCTGGACTGGACTTTGAGAAGCGGCCTCTGAGTGGATCAGCTGTGTCGAGGTTAAAAACTATTTGGACTGTGGAGTTGTTTTCATTATTCTCCAAACTCAACTTATTCTTTTCCACATGGCCGTCCTGGAGAAAAGTAACATCACTTCTATCTTTTAATATTTGCAACACTTTGTAGTAAACAGTTTTTATTATTGCATTTTGTGAAATCACTCTTTCTAACATCTCCACGATAGAAACTGCTTTCCTTAGCGCACACAGGAGCCGGACACTCAGACTTTAGTTGCAGCTTGTGGTCATTTTGTTCCAGTTTTCCGTCACCGTCTCTGTAGTTTTTTTCTACATGACTTTTATTTTGTCGTAGTCATTCTTTGTCTCTGTACATGTATTGCTATTTTTGTCAGATTTGTTTCTGTTCTGTGCTTCTTTTGTCCCGTTTTGTAGTCATTGTGTTTTTCTGTAGTCTTTTTGAGTCTCTTCCTGGTCTGAGTGAATCCCATTGGCCCCCACCTCTCAGTGATCTTCAGTCTGCAGCTCCTCAGAAACACACAGAGGATGTTTGGAGAGTGATTCCTCGGGCAGTTAAAGGTGTACGGGGGTCCGGGGAACCACCACCTGTCCTGTCAGCCTAATTGGGATCTGCTGTGCTTTGGGGCCTCAAACGGCTCCCAGAGGCCCCCCCCCCCCCGCCCCCCCTAGACAGGAAGGGAAAGCATGCTCCGACCTCTGAGAGGAACTCTCCGAGCGCCTCCTCTCTCCTCAGAGTCCTCACTAACACTAAGAAAGTGGATCAGTCCTGTTCTGAAGTCTTTACACTGGCTTCCTGTGTGTCAAAGAATATATTTCTAAATACTGCTGCTGGTTTATAAAGCTTTGAATGGTTTAGGCCCAAAATACATTTCTGACCTCCTGCTAAATGATGAACCATCCAGATCTCTCAGGTCTTCAGGGACTGGTCAGCTTTCTGTCCCCAGAGTCAGAACTAAACATGGAGAAGCAGCGTTCAGTTATTATGCTCCAAATATCTGGAACAAACTCCCAGAAACCTGCAGGTCCGCTGCAACTCTTGTCTGTCGTCTCTTCTACATAAACATGTGTCCCCTCTTCTTCATGTCTCTTCTTCATCAACATGTGTCCCCTCTTCTTCATGTCTCTTCTACATCAACATGTGTCCCCTCTTCTTCATGTCTCTTCTTCATCAACATGTGTCCCCTCTTCTCCATGTCTCTTCTACATCAACATGTGTCCCCTCTTCTTCATGTCTCTTCTTCATCAACATGTGTCCCCTCTTCTTCATGTCTCTTCTACATCAACATGTGTCCCCTCTTCTTCATGTCTCTTCTACATCAACATGTGTCCCCTCTTCTTCATGTCTCTTCTACATCAACATGTGTCCCCTCTTCTTCATGTCTCTTCTACATCAACATGTGTCCCCTCTTCTTCATGTCTCTTCTACATCAACATGTGTCCCCTCTTCTTCATGTCTCTTCTACATCAACATGTGTCCCCTCTTCATCATGTCTCTTCTTCATCAACATGTGTCCCCTCTTCTTCATGTCTCTTCTACATCAACATGTGTCCCCTCTTCTTCATGTCTCTTCTACATCAACATGTGTCCCCTCTTCTTCATGTCTCTTCTACATCAACATGTGTCCCCTCTTCTTCATGTCTCCTCTACATCAACATGTGTCCCCTCTTCTTCATGTCTCTTCTACATCAACATGTGTCCCCTCTTCTTCATGTCTCTTCTACATCAACATGTGTCCCCTCTTCTTCATGTCTCTTCTACATCAACATGTGTCCCCTCTTCTTCATGTCTCTCCTACATCAACATGTGTCCCCTCTTCTTCATGTCTCTTCTACATCAACATGTGTCCCCTCTTCTTCATGTCTCTTCTACATCAACATGTGTCCCCTCTTCTTCATGTCTCTTCTACATCAACATGTGTCCCCTCTTCTCCATGTCTCTTCTTCATCAACATGTGTCCCCTCTTCTTCATGTCTCTTCTACATCAACATGTGTCCCCTCTTCTTCATGTCTCTTCTACATCAACATGTGTCCCCTCTTCTTCATGTCTCCTCTACATCAACATGTGTCCCCTCTTCTTCATGTCTCTTCTACATCAACATGTGTCCCCTCTTCTTCATGTCTCTTCTTCATCAACATGTGTCCCCTCTTCCTCATGTCTCTTCTTCATCAACATGTGTCCCCTCTTCTTCATGTCTCTTCTTCATCAACATGTGTCCCCTCTTCTTCATGTCTCTTCTACATCAACATGTGTCCCCTATTCCTCATGTCTCTTCTACATCAACATGTGTCCCCTCTTCTTCATGTCTCTTCTACATCAACATGTGTCCCCTCTTCTTCATGTCTCTTCTTCATCAACATGTGTCCCCTCTTCTTCATGTCTCTTCTACATCAACATGTGTCCCCTCTTCTTCATGTCTCTTCTACATCAACATGTGTCCCCTCTTCTCCATGTCTCTTCTTCATCAACATGTGTCCCCTCTTCTCCATGTATCTTCTACATCAACATGTGTCCCCTCTTCTCCATGTCTCTTCTACATCAACATGTGTCCCCTCTTCTTCATGTCTCTTCTACATCAACATGTGTCCCCTCTTCTTCATGTCTCTTCTTCATCAACATGTGTCCCCTCTTCTTCATGTCTCTTCTACATCAACATGTGTCCCCTCTTCTTCATGTCTCTTCTTCATCAACATGTGTCCCCTCTTCTTCATGTCTCTTCTACATCAACATGTGTCTCCTCTTCTTCATGTCTCTTCTTCATCAACATGTGTCCCCTCTTCTTCATGTCTCTTCTTCATCAACATGTGTCTCCTCTTCTTCATGTCTCTTCTACATCAACATGTGTCCCCTCTTCTTCATGTCTCTTCTTCATCAACATGTGTCCCCTCTTCTTCATGTCTCTTATACATCAACATGTGTCCCCTCTTCTTCATGTCTCTTCTACATCAACATGTGTCCCCTCTTCTTCATGTCTCTTCTACTTCAACATGTGTCCCCTCTTCTTCATGTCTCTTCTACATCAACATGTGTCCCCTCTTCTTCATGTCTCTTCTTCATCAACATGTGTCCCCTCTTCTTCATGTCTCTTCTACATCAACATGTGTCCCCTCTTCTTCATGTCTCTTCTACATCAACATGTGTCCCCTCTTCTTCATGTCTCTTCTACATCAACATGTGTCCCCTCTTCTCCATGTCTCTTCTACATCAACATGTGTCCCCTCTTCTTCATGT